CGTTCATGAAGACTGCCTTTGACAACTTCATCCGTTCCGCCTGTAGTTGAAACAATGCTTACTTCCTAGATAAATGAAGTCTGCCTGTTTTCGATACAGAATTTTGCACCAATAGGCGGCAGTTCAAGTCGCCACACTCCCTCCATGTAGCACACAAAGCAAAAGAAGAAAGTACAAGAAATGCATAATAGAGACAGTAAGCAGAGGTGTGAGACAAAGGAATAGTAGTAACGAAGAACAAAACAGTTTCATTGGAAATCATAAGTCACAAGGAGTGGATGCATCTGCGCCACTGAGAACGATTTTGAGCCATGTCACCAATTGTTTCCAACCATAGATTTTTACCGTCCCGAGGACCCCAACCAGGAAGTCTACACCTTCCTACGTGGCTTAGACCAACTGTTGTGGATTTCATTGACTGGTGAGGCCAAGTTTTTGTTTGACCGCCGCTAGCTTTTTTCCAGCCTGACCCTATATCCGCTAACATAGCTCGTCGAGGGAGGCGATGGATTGGCATACGTAACACATGTCCTAACCATCTCAGTCTTTGTAGCTTCACGACTTCGTCGATTGATTTCCCCTGTTTACCTAGAACTCGACGCCTAACCTCAATGTTGCTCACCTTATTATGCCACTTTACACGGGAAATAGAACGCAGGCACCTATGATCAAAGACAGCTAGTCTTTTCATGTCTTCCACTCTCAGTGGCCAGGTCTCACAACCATAAAGGAGGACGGAGCGGACTGATGAGCAGTACACCCGCCCTTTGGTCGATAGTCGAACATCTCGTCTACGCCAGAGTCGGCGTAAACTAACAAATGCGAAACGAGCCCCCTGTATTCGTGCTGAGATTTCGTCAGAGATCAACCCGTTGGCGTTGGCTGATGGTACTTCCCAAATAAGTGAAGCGGTCAACGTGCTCTACCACTTCACTTCCTATTTTTAAACTAGGCGTCGATGTAGTCCAGTCCTGTAACATCATCTTGCATTTGGCGGGAGCGAATCGCATGCCAAACATTCGTAGATTGTAGCTCAAGGTGTTTAGAAGACTCTGCATTTTGTCAGCGTCTTCGCCTAGAAGGACTATATCGTCTGCATATTCCAAGTCAACGAGATTATTTCCCGGTAGCAAGTCAATCCCTGAGTCGCTGAAGTCACCTAGGGTTAAGTCCATTAACACATCTATGATGAAGTTGAATAGAAAAGGAGATAATGGGCATCCTTGACGGACACCACTGGTCGTCATCAGTTCAGATGACAGCTCGCCGTAAGCCCTCACCTGGCTGTATGAGTACGAGTAGAGTGCCTTAATCAGTGCAATATATTTTCTCGGAATTCCCTTTACAGCCAAGCATCTCCAGAGAACTTCCGATCGACAGAGTCGAATGCTGCCTTTAGGTCAAGAAATATAATGACTGTTGGACGCCGGTAGGAATGCCTATGTTCTAGAATCTGTCGGAGGGTGAAGATATGATCAATACACCCTCTTCCTGGTCTAAAGCCTGCCTGGCTCTCTCGTGTTTGTGCCTCCCGAGCACCACTCAGTCTACGCATGATTATTGAGCCTAAGACTTTAGATACTATATTAGTCAAGCTAATCCCTCTGTGATTATCACAGGAAGACTTGTCTCCCTTCTTGTATATGGGGATAATCAGTGACTTACACCAACCCGATGGGACTTCTTCTGATTCCCAGACGCTGCCTAGTACCTCAGTTAATGCGGACAGTAAGCTGTCTCCACCGTACTTAAATACCTCTGGAGTCATTCCATCAGGTCCCGCTGCTTTGCCTAGTTTCAGATTGGTGACAGCTTTAGTAACCTCAGTTAGGGACGGAGGACCTGTGTCTATATCCCATTCAGGGAGGTGTTGGATGCTCGGAAGGTTGAGCGTGGCTGTGGGCAAATTAAACTGCTCCTCATAATGCTCTTTCCAACGATCCAGTCGTCTATCCTGGGAGCTAATTATAGTGCCATTTTTTTCCGAGATTGTCTCACTAATGATTTGTCTTCTCCCACCCGTTTCCCTGATGAGTCTAAAGAGTTGCCTGGTGTTGCCTATCCTCGAAGCTTTCTCCATCTCTTTGGCTTTTGTCGCCCACCACTGTTCACGGTCCTTGCGGAGACTTTTCGTAAGTTTCCTCTTGTGCAGCTTTCGCTCCTCATTGAATTCGGAGCTCGCCGGAATAAGTCTTCTAGCATCTATCAGTTCGGATGAGGCGGTGGAGATCCAGTGGTTTTTACTCACCTTTGGGTTTACCTTATTCACAGCTTTTACAGCTGTATCTATGGCTGCCTGGATATTTTTCCAAGCTTCTTCAGGGTGAGCACAGCTGTCGAACACAGATATGTGTTTAGCTAGTTCTTCCTCAAATACGGATTTAGTTTCCTGATCGAGCTGGGGACGTGATGGTTTTACCGCCAGCTGTTTCCTACGTCCGTTCAGTCGTAAGCACACACGAGCGCGGACCAGTGCATGGTCGGTATCTACGCACGTGTTCCAGAAGGAGCGACAATCTCCTACCGACCCACGCCAACGATAGCTTATTGCTATGTGGTCTATTTGTGTCCAGCGTTGGTTTGATGAAGGGGGTCTCCAAGTCAAACAGTGTCTCTCCTTGTGTTTGAAGTTAGTGCTTACAAGAAACAAATGATTATCAGAGCAGAACTGTAGGAGACGGTCACCGTTGTCGGTTCGCTGGCACGGAACTCCATAGGTGCCACCGACATCCTTCTCAGATTGACACAATTTCCCTACTTGAGCGTTAAAGTCACCAGCTAGAACGACTATGTCTGAGCGTTTAGCCTTTCTCACCAAACTAGACAGCTTTTGGTAGAACTCATCCTTCGTTTCATCTGAACTGCAGTCAGTGGGGGCGTAGGCGGAGATTACGAAAAGGCATCGGCGAGTAGTGCAGTCCTTTCTCCTTCTTACTGATCCGTTCAGGCGGACAGCACACATTCGGCTATCTACCGGGATCCAGTCAAGCAATGTCTTTTCTGCCCTAGTACTCAAAGCTATCCCTACGCCAGCTAATCCTCGTGAACTAGCTGTGGCATCTCCTGACACCCTCAAGGTGAATTTTGCAGATTCAACCTGTTGGCCAGGTGGGGTTAGGTGAATAACCACACTTGGGTCTTGTATGCGTGTTTCTGAAACACAACATACATCAATGGCTCGTGATGCCAGGGTCTTGGCTAGTGATGCTTGTTGTCCTATTTGGCAAAGTGTCCTAACATTAAGAGCTCCTATATGAAATTGGTGGCGCGGCTTTAAGAGGCTGTCGGTGGTGGTTTTTTGGCTTCCATCGTTTTTAGTGGACGCAGAGTGGAGAGGAAGTGGAGAGCTATCAAGTCGAGGAGTTGCATCAGTGGAAGGAAGGCAAGATGATAGAGATGAAGACAAAGATGAGTGAGGATTAGAGAGGTTTCGTGTGCATTTCGGATTGTGAGGGCGATTGTTACTTCCCGGCTGCCCACACCGTGGAAGTTGGTTGCGTGACCGCAGAGCCCAGGGGACAACTGCTTGAGGCCGGTCACACGCGGCCTGTTTTTGTTTGTTCTCTTTTGTTTGGTGTGTCTCAGTAGCATATTTATCACTCCTGCCCTGTGACACGGCAGCAGGAAGCGCGGTCGTTGTTAATCCGGGCCACGGCCGATCCGGCATGAAATTTTGTGATTTTGTATGCATCATACTTTTCGATTGGGTAGTTGCTATCCAAACAACCTTTCTGGCATGGTAGTACCTCAAGAGACATAAGTCTCAGCCAGTATAGCTTGTTGGGACATTGTGGTGTTCAAGCCCGACCACCACGTCAAGGTAGCAGCTTTCTGTCGGGAGATAAGCGAAGGAAGTAAATTCTGTCAAATCTCTCCCATTGATGGTGACTGGTGCTGGTTGTTGTTGTTGTTATTGCTGCTGGTCGGTTGGTTATCTTCATCATCTCCACCTTCTCTACGTTCCCTTGGAGTCCTGTCTCCGCTACCTAACACTTCTGCCAGTTTGTTGGTTTTTGCCTGCAAGTCTTCGAATTGTTATTATTTGGTGGAATATATTCCAGCACACATTTATCATCTGGATATACCTGCGATCACAGTAAGTGATAGTTTTTCTACTCACCTGGATGACGAGTCCCAACAAGGACGAAATTCGCATCCTGAAATTCACTGGTAGGCACCAAATCCACTTAATGATAATGTGTTAATCCCAAGATATCGTCGGAGTGTTCTTCCTGGGAGGCTGACATGTCAACAAAAAGCTAACATTCCGTTCAAATATAATCAATAAACAGAAAATATAAAATCAAATGAACTGTAGTCAAGATTTGACAGAATAGTTCTATAATATTTGGGCGCCGAGTGAGAAGTAGACATTTGTAAAAAATTATATTTGTTGTTCAACTAAACTCTAATCCTAAACACCATAATTTCGAAAATACGTCTAATCATAAAATTCTAGATACTAACAGTTTGAACAGACATGAAGGTGTGATGTTAGATGACGCATAGGAAATCCTGACTAATTAATAAATAAGAATGGATATGTATCACTAACTAATAATACTTGGTCAAAGTTTCCCGACTGTCTATATCTACTTATGGAGACGTTAAGATATTGTTTTACAACTGTTTATCCGCACACACACACACACATACACACTGTGTTTAAAGTGTTTAACAAAGGTAGATCAATATTTGTAAGTCTGAGGTCAAATTTTGATCACAACTCGTACAATTTTGTTTATTATACTTGTTAATATTTGTTTTATAAATCATGATTGGACAAAGTTTTTAAAAAACTAAAGATGTTCCTTTTATATATAAACCTCTGTTATGTTAATTTCGATTAATTTCCCTGAAGAAGTTCGGACCAGATTGCCGAACGAAACGTTGGAATTACTCATTTCAATATCGCTGAGATTTTACAAATATAATTTTTTACAAAGAAAATATAAAAATTAAATTAAACAAATCGACAATTTTTGACAATAGATGGTTACCTTTTTGTCTTTATAACTATTTTTTTTCACTGGATGATACGCATAGTTCACTGGATAGGATTTGATGAAATTAAGACTGTGTAGTTGTTGAATAGACACTAATGTATAAAACAGTGAAATAAAAAAAGCAAAAGAGGTCAGTCAGTGGGTGGGGTGTGCCTTAATAAACCCGTGCATATCACAGTGTAAGTCAAATGAATATAATTCAAACATGCAAAATACCACTCATGACATATACCTATCCACCACCGTCATGAAGACTGAACTGGGTGTGTATGCTGAAGTCAGTGAATTCTTCATAGAACAGAAATCAAAATGAATACCGTCAAGCCAACATCACAATACACAACTCAAATGTTTAAACATGAAAATTACAAGGTCACAGTTGGTTATCATCAACCAATCACTTTAGTCGGCAGTGTACTAACTACCACCAAGCAGTTGTCTAGACTGAGGAAGGTAGTGTGAGATTTGGACCCTAGGTTCTACACGGAGAAGTCAAGTTTGTTCAAGAAAATGAATCACATCTCCCCTCTCCGCATTTAGTATGTGAAGGAATAGGGTAGCAATAAGTAGACCGAATCAAAGTAGGAGGGAGAATGTATATATGTGAGGTACTTCAAGAGCCAAGATTCACTGCAGTACACAGACTATGAAGAAAACTACCTGCATGAGGTTTTTTTATTTTCTTTACGTTCCCCAGTGGAACATAGGGTGGCTTAAAGCTAGTGGCTTGAAGTTTCTGTAGCAGTGTTTATTTTAGAGAATGGGGTTGCTAGCCTAATGCCCAACCTTTCCTCTTTACCAGCAATGTTTCTGGTCTAGCGAGGTAAACGAGTGCGTCGGTCGGGGATCGAAACCCGGACCATTTGCACGGTCGGTGAGCTTCCTAACCGCTATGCCACCGACGCACCCTGCATGAGGTAATTACAGTAAATGATAACCCAAGTAACTCAAAAGATGCTTATTAGGAGAATACAGAACAACATAATTACTGCGACTCAATAACAGGATAACTTCGCTCTAGATTAAAAGCATCTGAGTAAGCGTTAACCAACTACTTCATCCGTTCGAAAGTGCATTGAGTAGCGTAGGAATGAATGAATTCACCGGAAAACCTACCGTATTTTCCAAGCTAAATGTTCTATCATTAAAGAATAAAGGAATTGCAATTTAAAGATTTACACCGGTGAAGATTTTCCTGAACACTACTACGTTGGGCAGTCTTGTCATCAAACTGCCTACACATATTGTGGTGAGAGCTGTCTACAAAAGCAATTTACGGGCAATGAAGAAACAGGCATAAAATGGACTCACACAAAAAGAGACTTGGAGGATCTGGACTTCGCCGATGATATATATGTCTGATTTCCCACAAGCTGGAAGATATGCAAGTGAAAGGCAACAAGTTGGCATAACAAGCATCCGGAGAAGAATGAACTTCAGGTGGACATAGAGAAAACAGAGGTGATGAAGTTTCCTGACCAACAGCAACAGCAGACAACAATCAGCATAAATGGGGGGAACCTGAAAGAAACAACGTCCTTTACTCACTGACCTACCTGGGAAGCATCGTTTCAACTACAAGTGGAACTGACGAGGATATCAAATCAGCGGGGATCATCGGAAAAGCAAGACAAGCTTTCATTACTCTTAAGTCTGTGTGGAGGTCAACAGCACTCGTCATGAAAAATAAGATCCGGATTTTCAGCTCCAATGTGAAGTCAGTGCTACTCATTATGCGGATCAGAGGCTTGGCGTCACTCCGCGTCACGAAGGCCACTTCAAACAAACTACACACCTTCATCAACAGCTGTCTACGCTGAACACTCAAGATAAGATGGCCAGAAAAGATAAGCAACAGGGATTTCTGGGAACCAATGGTGCAAAAAATATGCAGAAAGAAATGGAGATGGATTCACCATTATCCTGAGAAAACGAACCATCAAGTGACATCACACGCCAGCCCATTGCTCAAGTGGAACCCGAATGGGAAGTGGCAAGTTGGTCGTCAGTGCGAAGGTGACATGTGGGAGGAGGAGGTTATGAGAAGACGAGATGAAAGTATTCGAGCAGACGTGGAGCCAGGTGAGAACGTTGGCAGAGAACCTAACTCAATGGAGATGCGTGGCTGAAGCCCTATGTTCCTCTAGGAACTAAAAAGGACAATAATAATAATAATAATCGTAAGCTTGTGATAATGAAGTTTGAAATCCAAGGAGAATACTGACGAAACTTACTTTCCAAAATCATAGATAATTTTTTTTATATACAATTTAATACTACGATTGTACACTAGTTAGTAATTAGTCTTATGTGTCTAGTCCTTTGTTACTTGGTGTTAGCGGATATAGGGTCAGGCTGGAAAAAAGCTAGCGGCGGTCAAACAAAAACTTGGCCTCACCAGTCAATGAAATCCACAACAGTCGGTCTAAGCCACGTAGGAAGGTGTAGACTTCCTGGTTGGGGTCCTTGGGACGGTAAAAACAAATGGTTGGAAACAATTGGTGACATGGCTCAAAATCGTTCTCAATGGCTGGCGCAGATGCATCCACTCCTTGTGACTTATGATTTCCAATGAAACTGTTTTGTTCTTCGTTACTACTATTCCTTTGTCTCACACCTCTGCTTACTGTCTGTATAATGCTTTTCTTGTACTTTGTTCTCTTGCTTCGCGTGCTACATGGAGGGAGTGTGGCGACTTGAACTTCCGCACATTGGTGCAAAGTTCTATGTCGAAAACAGACAGACAGACAGGCAGACTGGATTCTATCAGTCAAGTTTGTTACGTGGCTTGACACCACCGTGGACTGATGATTGTTGATATTAGATGGTTTTAGGCAATCCGAAGAAAGCCCCAGCCTTGAAGCTAGGCTTCGCGCTAGTTGGCTCTCACCAGTCAGTAAGGGATATCTGTAAACTTGAAGGAATTCATGTCCCTGATGAGATTCGAATCCGCGTTATTCACAGCTGAAGTCTAAATTGTTGACACATCCATACTAAATGGTGTTATTATGATCTGAAAGTTAGTCATCTGGAGATATTATAGTGACGAATAGAGAACCACATGGAAACAAAAAGGACACCAAAACCCCCCACATTTTGTTAACATGTACATCGAAATGAAATGGGCAGTTAGTCGATCACAAGAGTTTGTGGTGATTTCATACAAGTCAGTGTGGAGATCAGTCAAGGAGGATATTTTTTTGAAGCCTGCCTACCGAAGATTCTATGGAGTAAAAGAGTGATAGACTCTTAGGTCTGCCAGAAATCATTTAACTGTGGATGATGCAATCACCAAAATAAATAAGTACAGTGATGTGATGGAGAGACTATGTGACTCACTTCTAAAAGTTGAGTGATGAATAACCAATCGATTTTGAAAGGCAATACTGTCAAATTAATCTCGCCTAGTTTATTAGCTTGCTAGTTTTCTAGACGATCCAAAGCCCCGGGCAAAGAGGGAGGGTTGGACATGTGGTTGAAGATCCTACCTCGGAAAATCAATCAAACAGCTACAAAACTTCCCTGTACAAGAAAAGATACTAAAAATACAAAAATATATATATAAAAGGGCTTGTCTGTCTGTCTGTTTTCGACATAGAACTTTGCACAAATGTGCAGAAGTTCAAGTCGCCACACTCCCTCCATGTAGCACACAAAGCAAGAGAAGAAAGTACAAGAAAAGCATAATAGAAACAGTGAGCAGAGGTGTGAGACAAAGGAGTAATAAAGAAATACAAAACAGTTTCATTGAAGATCATAAGTCACAGGGAGTGGATGCATCTGCGCCACTGAGAACGGTTTTGAGCCATGTCACCAATTGTTTCCAACCATAGATTTTTACCGTCCCGAGGACCCCAGCCTGGAAGTCTACACCTTTCTACGTGGCTTAGACCAACTGTTGTGGATTTCATTGACTGATGCCCGACCGAAAGCTGCTACCTTGACGTGGTGGTCGGACTTGAACACCGCAATGATCTACTCAAGCTATACTGGCTGAGACTTATGTCTCTTGAGGTTCTACCATGCCAGGCAGGTTGTTTGGATAGCGGTTAAACAAAAAGCAGCTACCCAATCCAATATCATGTCCAATACAAAATCACAAAATTTCATGCCGGATCGGCCGTGGCCCAGATTAACAACGACCGCGCTTCCTGCTGTCGTGTCACAGGGCAGGAGTGATAAGTATGCTACTGAGACACACCAAACAAAAAAGAACGAACAAAAACAGGCCGCGTGTGACCGGACTCAAGCAGTTGTCCCCTGGGCTCTGCGGTCACGCAACCAACTTCCACGGTGTGGGCAGCCGGGAAGTAACAATCGCCCTCACAATCCGAAATAAAAGGGCTTATTCTTCACTGGAATCGGAAAGTCAAAATGACGCCAGCTGGTGAAATCCGCCTTAAGGAAGCCAGTCAACCGATGAGTCTTCTTTCGGTGAAAGGCAACAAACTATCAAAAGAAGTAGCAAAAATAGGACTCCAGGTGAACATAGAGAAGGCGGAGATGATGAAGATAACCAACAAACTGCAACAACAACAACAACAAAAACAACCACCACCTATCACCATCAACGGGAGAAATTTAACAGAGGTTATTTCCTTCACTTATTTAGGTATCCTCGTTTCAACTACCGGTAACTACACGGACAAAGATGTCAAAACCAGAAATGGAAAGACAAGACAAACCTTCAACATTCTGAAATCACTTGGGAAACCTTCTGCACTTAGTCACCATGAAGAACAAGATTCAGATTCTGTTCAACAAAAATGTTAAGAGTCAGTCAGTAAATCACTTCTTCTTCTACAAGGATCATAAAATTGCACTGTGCATCATGAAATGAATTTCCAACAGGCTAGTCGAGACTTTTACCAACAGTTATCTTCGCTGGTTCCATAGTAATGATTAAATGGTCGGTTGGACAGAAAGGATTAGCAGTAGGAGTCTATGGGAACAAACTAACCACGAAGCTGTCGCGTTTAACAAATATGTAGGAGAAAATGCAGATGGATAGGGTGAAAAGTAGGGAGACACCATGGAATGACATCGCGCGTCAGCCAGGTCATTGCTCAAGTGGAACCAGAACTGGAAACAAGGAGGGAGTGGGGTGTGAGGCCAAGGGTGACATGAAGGAGGTAGTATGGCGAGGTGGAGACGAGAGATTATGGGGAATCGTTAACCCAGATGAAAGGGACGCCAGAAAATATGACAAAATGGAGATGTACTGTTGAAGCCTTATGTTCGAATCGGAACCCAAGGGAACAATAATAATAATAATAATAATACTGTCAAAATATGCAAATTGAACTCAAAAAGCATTGGACACATCATTTTTTCTTTCTCAATGAAAATGTATAGCACATGCATAGCACAACGCAACACAAACGAAACACTACCACCAACAACACCAACAACAACAGAAAAAGATAGCAGTTTCTCTTCAAAAATTTATTGATTTATTTATTTATTTATCAAAATTAATCGCTGCACAATTTTTCTTGTTAACAAAACAAAGAGGAAAGAGCAGCACTGTACAAGAAATGAGAAAGGCGAATAGGACGTATTTTTATACAAAATGATATGAGATGGCCTTATTTCTTTTATTATTCTGTCTCCATAGGGACTTCTTTGCTATTCTCATTCGCCTTCTTCTGCTGCTTAGCCTTCTTCTTGTTGTCCACGTTGTGAAATCGGCTTTCTGAAAGGCTCTGTTTATTTTCATTTTCATGTTTCACAGTAACAGCATCTGTCAGTGATTTCAGCGACGAGGTAGTTTTGTCTATAGACTTTAAGAAAACACGGAGGCGTAGACATAATTAGAAAGTCTTGACATTATAAAGTAAAACACAAAGATTAACAATTCAAGTTGAGACAATTTACTACAGTGACAGCCGCGCACATTGTATGCGCGTCCTCTCAAAACGTGTTAGAGAACACTACCCAGCGTGGTTGCAAAGAGGAGGCACCGGTTCAATCAGAAGTGCCATTATTGAACATCTGGTCAACACCTCCCACAAAATCTCAACTGTGATTCTTTCAAAGTGATTTACAAAGTCAACAGAAACCTACCAAGAGCAATATGTTTCCGACTTCTTTGTACTGCAGAAGCCCTCGCAATATGCATCGAGAAGCCGGAGCTGTGTGTTCAAAAGAAGTTAGTCCAACCTCTACAACTACCATGGACCTAGATTGGTATGTTCCCTTTGTTTCCGTCTTTTTTTTCTCTTCCTCGTCTGTTTTCGTTCTTGTTTTTTCCTTTAGAGCATTTTTCGGTGACTCTAAAGAATAGCGGCCCAAACCGAAACGACCTTCGGACAAAAAAGTGACCTTGAGGAAGGAATCAGCTGACTGCATCATCTTCGGATGTAATCATGGATGTTTTCGATTACTTTTTGGATAACGGACTGATAGCTTTGTCGAAAATTTGCCAATGCGGAGGAGTTATGCATATACAAAAATAGACAGAAGCCATTGATGGCTTTGTATACAGGTGTATTGAGTGCCGAAGGAAGAAATCGGTTCGAGAAGGTTTGTCGTTGTTTTTTAGTTTACAGATCTCTTAGGAACTTTTCTCTCAAGGTCTAAACTACCTTTGACGAAAATTTTAATGATCTGTAACTTCTGGGTCCTGAAAAGAGCAGTCACAGCTACAGCTTATGAAACAGAAAATTCAGAGGTGTCAGCAGTGCAATGGTACAACTACTGCAGAGATGTTTCCTCCTGGAAAATGAACACCCTGACTCAAGTTCTCGGAGGAGTCGGCAGCATAGTCCATATCGATGAGACTGTACTTATAAATAGGAAATACAACCGTGGGAGATTACAAGCAAACCAGTAGTGGATACTGGGTATCTACGACACGACACTGCGCAAAGGGTATATAGAAGCGATTCCCAGTCGCAGTGCAGCAGTATTAGTGCCTATTATTAAGCGTTTGGTGTTGCCGGGGACGACTATTCATACAGATGAATGGAGCGGATACCGTCAATTATCGAATCATGGGTACATTCATCATGTTGTTAATCATACGGACGGTTTCCGGAATCCTTTAGACGGAACCCACACCAGTTCCATTGAAAGTTTTAGGAGTCGTCTAAAAAGACGTATAAGAGCGGTTAATGGATCGAGAAATATCATGATTTACAGTTACCTGGATGAATTTATGTACCGAAACTGGTTTCATACGACTATGAAGACTCCCATGAGAAACTGGGAGGTTTTTTTGAGACATATACGCGAGCGCCATCCTT